CGGAAGCATAAGGAATGAGTTTCATTTGCTCTTTCTCAACCTCGGTTTTTGGGCATTGGAATGACCCAAAAACGTCTCCCTTAACTACTGGAGCAACTGATGGAGAGTATTGGTGCATGTTGAAACGTTCTAAAATGCACTCAATGTATGCCTTTTGGGACAAGCCTAATGTCCCTTTGACTCCGTCTCGGTGAATTTCAATGCCTATAACATAAGAAGCTTCACCTAGATCTTTCATGTCAAAATGGGCAAATAATAAGCGTTTTGTTTCATGCAATAAATCCAAGTCACTACTTGCTAATAAGATGTCATCAACATATAACACAAGTATGATGAATTTGCTCCCACTCATTTTGAGGTAAGTGCATTGATCTACTTTGTTTTTAATGAAGCCATTTGATTTCATGACTTCATCAAATTTAAGGTACCATTATCGAGATGCTTGCTTGAGCCCATAAATAGACTTCTTGAGTTTACACACTAGATGTTCTTGACCCTTAGAAACATAACCTTCTGGTTGTATCATATAAACATCTTCGTGTAAATCTCCATTTAAGAAGGCTGTTTTGATGTCCATTTGATGTAGCTCAAGATCAAAGTGAGCTACTAAAGCCATAACGACCCTTAGGGAGTCCTTTCGAGAGACGGGTGAAAAGGTCTCTTGATAATCTACACCTTTCCTTTGAGTGTATCCCTTAGCAACCAATCTTGTCTTGTATCTTTCAATGTTTCCTTTTGGATCTAATTTAGTCTTAAAGACCCACTTGCTTCCAACGGGCTTTTGACCCTTTGGTAATTCAGCAAGTTCCCAAACATTGTTCTTCTCCATGGAAAGAAGTTCCTCATTCATGGCTTCTTTCCAATGAGTCGTTTGGTCACAATTAATGGCATCAAGGAAAGATATAGGATCTACGACTTTCCCTAAATCAAAGTCAGCTTCTTCATTCAAATATATCAAATATTCGTCAAAATTTGTGGGGCGTCTGACCCTTTGAGATCTCCTTAAGGGTTGCTGATTTTCTGGAATTTCATTAGTAATTGGTGGAGTTGGTTCAACATTGATTGGAGTTTCATTCGCCTCCTGACTTGTTGCATCATTATTATGAGGCATTTGATTTTCACTGTGATCTTCAAGTGAGGAATTAGGTGGAATGGGCAGTATAATAAGTGGATTCATTCCAGTACCTTCTTGAAGTTCATCACAAATGTTTGAACCACTACTACTCCCACTAAAGTTAGTATTCTCAAGGAATTCAGCATGTCGGGTCTCGACAATTCGGGTAGTATGAGATGGGCAATAGAACCTATATCCCTTAGATCTCTCGGGATAACCAATAAAGGAACAACTAATGGTTCTCATGTCAAGTTTCTTCAATTGAGGATTATACACTTTTGCTTCAGCCGGACAACCCCACACTTTTAGGTATCGTAGACTAGGTTTCCTGCCCGTCCAAAGCTCATATGGAGTTTTAGAGACGAATTTAGATGGTACTCTATTTAGTATGTGGGTTGCTGTTTTTTAAAGCCTCGGTCCATAAGAATTGGGGAAGATTAGAGTTAGCCAACATACTTCGGACCATATCCACAAGAGTCATGTTCCGCCTTTCGGCAACCCCATTCTGTTGAGGGGTGACGGGAATGGTATATTGGTTGATGATCCCATGATCTTTACAAAATTCATGGAAAGATCCAGGAGCTTGACCAATTTCAGTGTGTCGACCATAGAACTCTCCACCCCTATCCGATCTCACTACTTTGATCTTTCGATCAAGTTGATTTTCAACTTCGGCTTTATAAGCCTTGAACATATCTAGTGATTCGGATTTTTCCTTAATCAAATATAGGTACATATAGCGTGAATAATCATCTATGAAAGTAATAAAGGACTTATGACCACTAATGGAATTGGGAAAAGGCCCACAAATATCGATGTGTATTAATTCTAACAAACCGGTGCTTCGTGTGGCGCCTTTCTTAGTTTTCTTAGACAATTTCCCTTTCAAATACTTCACACATTTATCATAATCTGAGAAATCGAGATTTGGAAGAATGCCATCTTTCATGAGTCTTATCATTCGATCTCGTGATATGTGGCCCAACCTTTGATGCCACAAATTGGACGATGATTCTAATTCCCTCTTTCTCTTGCAAGGATTTTCAGTTATATTAAATGACAATGGGGATTCCATAAAATTAGTATCTAAGCATAGTTTATAGAGGTTTCCCTCCATGCTACCAAATCCTATTACATTTGAGTTCAAGCTTAATGTTACTTTATTGTATACGAAATTAAATGTAAAACCATCAACACTTAGTTTCGATACAGACACTAAATTACGAGTAATATTAGGTACATAAAGAGCATCACGAAGATGAAGAATGAATCCACTCTCTAAAATTAATGAGTTAGTTCCAATGGCCTCCACTTCTAATTCTTCTCCATTGCCCACCTTAATCACTCTTTGCTTTCTTCCCAATGTCCGGATTGAATGGAATCCCTGCAGTGTGTTTGAAACATGAACCATTGAACCAGAGTCAATCCACCAAGTATTAAGGAAAAATGATGTGTTCAATGACTCATAAATCACATAAGTGGTTAAGTTACCTTTCTTAGTCAGCCATGCCTTACACTTAGGGCACTCCCTCTGGTAATGCCCTTTGAAGCGACAAAACTTGAAGTAGGGACCGGAGCTCTCATTTGCACCTATCTTTGGGACCTTAGAAGTATAACTTTTTCTTCCTCCTTGACGGTTACCTTTCCTTTTCTTTGAGTTTGTGGTGGTGAGATGAGCAACATCTGGTTTTTCAGCTTTAAGGCTCTCTTCTTCTTGAACGCACATAGCAATCAACTCGCTCATTGTCCACTTCTCTTTTTGCGTGTTGTAATTGATCTTGAACGGACCATATGATGCAGGTAGAGAAGTCATTATGAAATGAACGAGGAAACCTTCACTGATCTCCATGTCCATACTTTTGAGCTTATTGGACATATCAGACATTTTCATGATGTGCTCACGAATACCACTCACTCCATCATACTTACTAGTCAACATTTTGAGAATCAAGGTACTAGCATGTGCTTTAGAAGTGCCCTTAAACTGTTCTTCCACCTATTCTAGGTAGTTTTTCGCATTTTCTGAGTTTGAAATGGCTCCGCGAATTCTTGATCACCATAAGGCACATTCGGTTGGACCTCTCCCACTGTTCATAAGAACGTTTCTGTTCCACAGTGCTCTCAACGTTAGGAGCATCCGGTGGATCAATTCTCAGCGCTTGGTCGAGGTCCATCATGCCAAGTGAGAGTTTTATAGATTCTCTCCATGTTGACAAGTTTTTACCATTTAGAGGCTCTATCCCATAATTGTATGGGGTAATAGTAGATGCTGAAATAAAAGTTTTGACAGAGGCAATAATAGAAGCTATTTATTATAATATATAAGGGATACAATAAGGCATGTCAATTATTAGTAAATAAGCCTATTATCAACACCAAATAATAGGAAAATTCATATCATGTTTAATAACTAACATTGCATTGGCTAATGTTAATTATCAAACATTATGATATTAAAATTAAAATTAGGCTCCAAATTGTGTCACATATCACCTTTGGGCAGAAATATAACACATTTGATTACGCTTACACTTCATTATACAAGTTATCAAATAACACACCTTTGGGTTTGTTAAAATAAAAACTCATATAATTGTTTAAGATAGTCAAAGCCAATAGTCTTTCGTTGGACCGATCGTTGGATTTGACACTAAGAAAATTAACAATCCATAATTCCGGTATGCAAAATCACAATTGTTGAAATATTAGCATTATATTATGGATTATGATTAAGAATATATTCATTTTGGAAATAATCAGTTAGATCCAAAAGGACAAACTGGTGCATCACTTGTGTGTTAATATTGACGATCGTATTCAACAAAAATAAACAAACGAAGTTATATGCAATTCTGACAGATTATACTCTGCATGTTCAAACATTCAAATATTTTTACTTTATCTTGATCAACCAAAAATGCAGACAACATGATTCATATTAAAACTGAATCCCCTTATTAGAAATTGTAGAGCATCATCAGTAAACAACGGAAATCATATATTTATATGCTCAGGATAACGGAAACTTTCTTTCAATCCAGCAAATTTCTGGAATAAAATTAATCATTCGTGTATAAGCACTTTCTAAAGGACCGTTTTCTGCACTTTAACATCATTTTACACATTCGGGAAATTCGAGTCTGAAAACACGAATCATGTGTAAATTTAAGATTCCCGAAAACAAAACAAAAAACAAACTAAAGACCTCAATTTTATCTTACATAACCGAAAGGAATAAAAAACTTCTTCATATCAAAAGCCACTTTAAAGTGATGAATAAGATGATTGAATCATACAAGAATCATGTTACTACGTGTTTGCAATTACACATGCCAATCAACATAGTGGCAGCACACGGTTGAGATATACATTAAAATAAAGAAATTAAAAGCATGTCATATTAGAGATAAATGCCACTAAGTAAATTAAAAATTATCATCGCATTTAGAAAGCAACAAAACATAAGGCTGGTGAAAAAACTCAAACAACGACGCAAATTAAAGTTCATCACGGCAAGTCGGCAAAGACGAATAAATTGATTACGACATATTCAGAACTTCAAAATTTATCAATGTAGGCGAGATTTAACAGGCTTTGATACCAAATGTTAAAAAATTCAGTCCCAAATATGAATCTAATCTCACAAACATGATAAAATTCATAAAATCAAACAATAAGAACACTAACCGGTTGAGGAGAAACCGAATGTTGATGATGTCGTAGAAGACGATGAAGCCATGATGTTTTGATTCTCTAAGGATACAAACTACTCTTGTGATGGATTGATCGGTTCTCATTTGAGTCTCATTATAATTGAGTTCTAGAGACCCTTACGAAGAGGCGTGTCTCTTTTGTCGTAAGAGTGAGAACCGAACGAGCATATAGGTTTGTATCAAAGAGAAACCCATTTGGTCCCTTATGTATTATTTAATGTTAAAACATACCCATCATATGTTAACTATACATAAATACAGGGACCAAATCTGTCATATGGCAAACTTAATGGTAAGACATAAATCTCCCCAAAATATATTAAATTATATAAATGGTCCAAGGGCATTTAAATGGAATATTTTCCAACATCCAGTTCTAAGAGTAAAATTTCAAAAGTGGTTTCATGATAGAAGAAAAGAAGCATCTGAAAACAACATGACCATGTCTCCAGCAGCAGAAGAAGTGCTTTTGAACTTGCTGCATGATTCTGCAGGGATGATAGTGAGTTATCTTTTGTTATCAAACTGAAATAAGTCTCTTATACCCGGATATTAGTAACTAACATTGTATATCACTATGCAAATTGTGTCTTAAAACTGTTTGTGTTAAGACAGTGAGTTATATAACACTAATTTGGATATTGTGTTCACTTGCAGGTAAGACCTAGCACAAACTTCAAATTTGAATTTATTGACAAATGGAGTAGAGCATATGTGGTAGACCTTGAATCAAAAGGGTGTTCTTGCAGGGAGTTTCAATCGGAGGATTTTGTTTGCGTTCATGCAGTTGCATCAATAAGAGCAAGGAATGGGTTGTCATGTTATGATTTTATTTCTACATACTACAAGAGTAGTTCATGGATGCAAGCATAGAGGGGAGTTGTAGAACCACTAGGTTCATATTGTGAAGACGATATCCCAAACAAGTACAGAGATTGTATCATTCACCCACCAGTATTAGATAAGTGGGCAGCTGGAAGACCAGAGAATAAAAGGATTCCTTGATGGGTGAGTTTGTGACCAAACAAAAGTGTGGAAGATGCAAACAACAAGGTCACAACCAAAAGACTTGCAACAATCCTATACCACGTCACTAATGAGCTTTAGAATAAAGGATTTCATTTGTCTTTTTTACTTCAATTACTACCAGTTGTTTAAGAATAATTTGAATAAGACATGAATTACATATGGTCCCTTAAATATTATTGTTTGCAAATGTATGCAAACTTAATGACCTTGAATTACTCATAGTGACATTCTCTTCATGGCACACCTTAAGTTACACGGATTGAGTTACAATATTTAAAATGTGTAACTGGAAATTATAAAGAAGATACCAATATTTTTCTCCAGCTTCGTCATATCTATCTAAATTTCAATGAGTATGAAATGATAATTAGAGTTGTATACTTTTGTTTTAAAAATAATGAAAAAAGAATGCTCATAGTATAATTCATTTCATTTTAAAAGCTATATAATTCTTGTAATATAAAATGAGTGTTGTAATACTTGTCACTACTGAATTGGTATCTCCTGGTATTTGATAGTGAAATACTGATAGTGACATTGTCTTCACGACACAACTGAAGTTACAAGGATGTAGTTACAATATTTAAACCGCATAACTGCAAATTTAAAAGAAGATAACACATTTTTTCACATTTGAATCGCATAGTGATATATACTCATAGTGACATTCTCTTCATGGCACAACTAAAGTGATAGATATAGTTACAATATTTGAACCATGTAACTGAAATTTATAAAGAAGATAGCAAAATGTGCAAACATTTTAATTCGGAAATCAGATTTCATCAATGTTTTTGCCTTGCGAAATCACATCAACAACAAAAGAGGTTTTGGACTTCCAAAAGAACATTGACAACATAAGGCATCAACCTCAAATACTAAGTTGCAATGTCAATTAACAAAAACATCATTGTAAAGTTTACAAAGTTAAACAACAGGTTGATGAGGAACTATTGATTTTCCTCTTTTGAGCCATAGATATAAAGATCATGGGCCCATTTTGCTCGATAAGCTGAAACAACTGTTGGACATATGAGTTTGATATCCATGTTCATTTGGAGCAATTCAACCATTTTCATCACTAAGATACCAGAATCTCCACTGCAAAAAAGTGTAGATAGCGCTTAGTAAAGTAGTAACACTATCAGGTATCTTTAAAGTACGGAGTATATATGAAGAGTTTGTATATGTATGTATATAGAGGTAGTGGCTGTTAGTGAAATAGGCCACGTTACTTACAAATTTTCTTGTCGTGGGACTCCAACAACCATCATAATAGAGAAAGCTTTAACAACATTTGGGACTCGTCCTTTAGCACGGGCTTTCATGTAAAGCATAGTATGCGGGAGATAATGAACCAGACCTCTGAGGTAAAAATCAATAGCGCTGATATGCTACAAAAATACAAAAGTATAATTAGAATAGAAAAAAGTTAAGTAAAAAACTAAACTATTTCAAAGGCATGTGGTAACTTACAATGGCATCAAACTATTGACCTGGTTCATGGAGGCGATAAAGCCACAATTTACTGTCTATTTCAATTTCAGGTTCCAAAACAAGATGAATCTTATCATCATATTCGGGAAGATACTTGACTGATCTTGCAAACGAGCGATGACCTCGAACAACTCCTTCCATTATAAATTGAAATAAAACAAATCTCTTCTGCTGGTGATTTGAAGAATGGAAAAGGATCATGGCTGAAAGGGCACAATACTGGGACAGAACAGACCTTCTTCCCCTTTCGTATAAAATCAGGGCCTGGGGTGTATCGGGAAGGTGACCGGGCCTTACGTTTTGGTCTTGATTGTTTGTCTTCCACAAGAAGATCAACATTTTCAGCAACATGTTTAAGTATGAAAACAGTTCACATGAATAAACACACCACAAAATCACATGGGAAAATAAAGTGACATGACAAATTGTTTGGGACGAGCAGTTAGTTTACTTGGATGGCATCTGACTGATCATCACTTGGAGCTAAATTAGCACTCGGAGGTACAACAACGAATAATGATGGCTGCAAAAAAGAGAATGAATTCAGTGTGTAATAAATAGTGATCCCAGAATATTTTGAAAAGTGCATTCACATTTGATTCAAGAATGTCGAAGGCAACACTGAAAATTTGGGTCAAACCAACATCTTCAGAATCAGCATTTTGAATTTTTTTAGGCCATCGTCTTCAGAAGCTATATCGATGGTGACACCCCCAACAGAAACAGGAAGAGAGGCAGCTTCAGCAGATTTATGCAACTTGGGTGAATCTCGAAGTGTACTCTCTTCACAAGTATCTTCATCTACTTGAACATCTCGACTCGGTACAGGAGAAGCAGTGACATTATGATGAGAAACATCAACAAGGGCTCTGAGATGATCAATCGCTTGTTGTTGATTCATAAACTTTTTTTCAAAGTCTAAAACCAGAGTTCTGAGCTTTTCAACTTCTGATTCGAGCACAGAAATCCTAGCCTCCAGAAGTAAGCGAGTTGATTCACCAGAATAGTCATTGTGGCTCAGAATTGAATGGTCAGCAACACCATGAGCATCAATGCCTTTAGATTCTCTTCCTGGTGTAGAGCTCTGAAGGTGCTAAGGTTTTAGTAACGTCTTCTTCATCCTAGAAGAAACTTTTCTAGTATTGGCTTGCACGAGAGCGTGGCTAGAGGGGGAAATGGGACTGAAAATGAACTGAAATACATAATTTTATTTAAAACAATTACTACATAAAAATAGTATTGAAAGCAGGATAAAGCGATTGAGTATGAAATATAAGCAACTTACTTCCTTATTACTGAAAATGAACTCCTTCAGATATTCACTTGATGGCTTAGCAGATGAGGACCATTTCAGAATACACAGGACACCATCAGGGTCTACTATATGAGCTATACCAAGGTCTTGTAACGCAGGAAATGACTCAAAAAGCCCAAATTTGTAAAGTGAGAACACAACCATAAACATTGTAATGCGAGGGATTTGATGAAATGCTCTTCACAGCAGCAGAAAAATAACTAACCATATCATCCCAAATAATCCTTCCCCAAGGATAGGAATTGAAAGCAGGTATATCATAAACTAGATTAATGTAATGTGGAGTAAATGAAACTTGAGGTTCAACAGCCAGAAATGCATGCGATAAAACATAGCGTAGGGAAAGCTTAAGGATGTCCTTGTGTGGTTCTTGACCCCTTTGATGAACCTCAAGTTTCATTTAGGACTATCCATGATGTGTTTCAGAGAAAACCGAGAAGAGATATTAGAGTTTGAACGGCAAACGAGATGATAGAGCAGAACAGTGAGAGGGGAATTAACGCACGATTGGGCAACTCGAACGGTATTGGAATCCAATTTTTAAATTGGGTAAGTTTTTTGAAAACTTAAAAAAAAGTCATATTTTTTGTCAATTCCTTTGAGCAAGTTTTCTTTTTTAATGTTATTTATTTCTCTTTCCTACTTTTTATTCTATTCCCATCATTACTGGTTTTTGATTATTTTGCAGCGCTACTGTAACCTACTAAGATCTTCATCGTGTTTCTTGACCTGAATAAATTCTCTTCTCGTGTTCTTAAGCTACTGAAGTTGATGTGCGTGGAAAGATGAGAGCTCGTGCTTCCTTTCAACTCTTTTTACTTAGTTGTGTCCTCTTTTCCGTAGCCTGTGAAGATTTTCCCTCAGATGAAGGTACTATTTCATCAATGTACTATGTATTATACACAGATCTAGCTTCTCAGGGTGACAAAGATTGCTCTGTATCTCAGAGTGTGAATGAATACAAAGTTTTATTTAATTATGTTCTTATAAGTATTCCCCTTCAGGCCATTTTACATTACCATCTAATTCCGCCAACTTGTTATTTCAGCAGAAGAGATGTTTGGTAATAACAACTAGGTGAACAGCTATATGAATATGTAGATAATGAAAGAGGGCTTTGTTGTATGTTTAATTTTAGTTCGAATTAATGCATGTTTTATTTTATAATCATGTTCCTACGCGTCCTGCACATTTACTGCATATCTGTGTCTATTTTGGGCAGTGAAAGCTCTTACTAAATTCAAAGAAGCTATATATAAGGACCCACTTAGGGTTTTATCAAATTGGAATGCCACAAATTCTGATCCTTGTAGCTGGAAAGGCATTTATTGTTCTAAGGCTGGAGATCATGTCATTAAAATGTAAGAATCCTTCTTTAATTTTAGTTGAGGCATTTTTAACTGTGGTATGTTTTTTATGAAGTAATGCACTAATAATTTGTTTAGTACTTTTACTCCCTCCATTTATGTTTTTTCTTGAAATTTTATGTTTCCAAGTATATGCCATAATATAAAGGAAAAAGGGGCAAATATGTCCTTGTACTATTTCAAATCCATCACCTCAGCCCCTTTTCTAAAAAAAAGTATCATATGGGTACGTTTACTTTGAAATCACAGTCACTCGAGCCATTTTGACCTGCTGCAGCAGGTAATTTTTGAAAAAATGGATTATGAAAATTAATAAATTTTATAAAAATGCATATAAACTTGAAAAAATAATGTAATAATAATATATAAATTCATAAAAATGAGAGAAAAAAAGATTAATAATTTTAAAACCCTAAACAAAAAATAAAAAAAACAGAAAAATGAAAAAAAGTTAATATATAAAAAATATTAAATAAATAATCTAAAAACTTTTAAAAAGATGTAAAATTAAAAAAAATCCAAACTGCAAAACATAGAGTTTGACATTCTTAAATTGTTGTGATATTTTATACTCCCTCTGTCCCAATTTGATTTGCAAAATTTCCTATTTTGGTTGTCCCAAAATGGTTTTCCACTTTCTATTTTAGGTATGTAAATAAGAATAAAGTGACAAATTTACCCTTACTTTTACTTTTTCCCGATTAACTCAAAGGCATCTACTTTTAGAAAGATGGGTAAAAGTGTAAAAAGCAAGCATCATTTATTGTCATTCCTTAATCCTTGTGCCGGTCAAAGTTTGCAATTCAATTCGGGACGAAGGGAGTATATATTTATTCGAATTATAACAATTTTTTAATTTTTTAAATTAAAAACCTGGTATTAGAGGTTTAAAACCGGTTAATTGGCTGGATTGAACTAATTTTTAAAGTAAGCGCATTTCAAATTTTCAATGATGCTTTTTTAGTAGAGGGATTTAAGTGATGTATTAGAAGTAGTAGAAGGGTCTATTTGACCCTTTTCCCTTATATAAAGGACCTGTTTGGAAATCGTTAGTTGGATGAAATGGCTAAAGGCTAAATTCACTGACTGTTCTGAGAGGAAGAGCATTTGTAACATCAATTTCAGCCATATAAGTAAGCAAAAAGCTATGCATTATATCTATTGCAGTAGAATAAGCTGGACCAGGCCACCAAACGAAATATGTTAAGAGACATTTATTACTACATCCATTTGAAAGTACAAGTTATCTTTCTCAGTGCACAACATTTGAATCATGGTTACTGGCATGATTTTAAAAGGCGCTTACAAAGCGGGTTTTGAGGCGTACAGAGAAGGTATCAAGCCTTAGGTTTTTTTTGGAGGTCAAGAGGCTTACGCCTCAAAAGTTGAGGCGCGCCTTGAAGCGTTTTTTGAGGCGCGAGTTCCTGTGTTTCTATCTTTTTAATGGGTTGTGATTTAAGAAAGGCCTAGTGTATTTTAAGTAGTATTTAATAAAAGGCCCATACATTAAATAAACATGTGTCCATAGTCCACACTAAACCCCTAACAAGTCTTGTTTAATTTAAAGTATTCATTAATCGTTAAAGTGATTGCATACTTTTGCACAAAGAAGTTTTGATACTCCTTCACAAAGAAGTTGACATCTTCTCACAAACATTCTATCCTCCTTCTCCTCCTAAGTTGTTGGTCATGTTTTCCTAGAGCTGGTCAAGGTTTACAACAGAATGAAAGATGGACACCTTAAATCTTTTGGTTGATGATTTGCAATCTGATGATGAATGGCTTGTGTTCATACTTGTGTTTGATACTTTTTGGACTTATAATTATCCATTTCTTTAGTTTTTAATACTAGTTTATTATTATACTATCCTCCGTTCCGTTTTAATCCCTAACAGACTGAAAGATGAACACCTTAAATCTTTTGGTTGATGATTTGCAATCTGATGATGAATGGCTTGTGTTCATACTTGTGTTAGATACTTTTTGGACTTATAATTATCCATTTCTTTAGTTTTTAATACTAGTTTATTATTATACTATCCTCCGTTCCGTTTTAATCGCAACATGTTGAATTTTACACTACTCACATGCTCTACTTTGACTACATTTTACGCTATTATTTTATGAAAATTATTTTTTTTTTAAAAAATATTGTTCAATTCATCTCATTACAAATTTTCAAAATCTGATTTTTAATATTTTTTTTACTAATAGAATTAAGATATAATTACGGTCAAAGACGTGCATTGGCAAATGTGAAATGTTGACCGTTGCCACTAAAAAAGAACGGAGGGAGTAAGTTTTATCTGTTGGTATATTTTGAGGCTTACGCTTCGCCTCTCCGGAACAAACCGCCTCGATACGCAAACTAACCATTTTAAATATTGGTTACTGGTAAGGTACAGTTTAAGTAACTCATGAACAATACTTTGTTTTTAAAATTTTATTTGCAGATATAACTAATTTTATCATATGTATTTTTGTAAGTTTTGGGAATAATTTTCCTTGATTTCATTGAGCCATACGGCCAGAATATATATGCAATGTACAAGTAACAACCTCCCTGTGGAGATCCTAAAAAGTAGGATGATCTAGCTAACTACAAAGCTTATCTAATAATTAATGAAAGCAACAACCTCTAAGACTTATCTACACGGCTACATATGTACTAAGTCTAAGAATTAACAATTAATGTAACATTTTCTACACTCCCTCTGTTAGGGACCCGATAGAATAAGAGTAAATAAGAAGAGTAATAGCTAGAGTAGTATAAATAGAAGGGGAGTGGGTAATAAAAGGAGGCTGTTTAGACTTTTATCTTGTATTGGGAAGTTAGAGACTAATACTCTCTTTCTTTGGGGGCTTCGGCCATTGGGGGCTTCGGCCAGATTCTTGTTCATCGTTAATCAAATTGCAGATCGTTTTCTTGAGATATTCCTGAGAATTATCTGAATAATTGGATAACTCTTACAGTGGTATCAGAGCACGTTGATCTGTGGAAGATCTTTACAAGTGCGAAAAAATGGAAGGAAGATTAAATGAACTGGAGCGACACCAACAAGAAACAGCAGCAAGCACTGCGGCGACCTTAGCTGAGTTACGAACAAGCATCGCGAATATAGAGAGGAGGATACAGAATCGTTCGCAAAGTAGGTCGCATGCATCATCCGCGTCGCATAGCACTTCTCATCATCGACACACGCGAAACTCGGATAGTTCAGATGATTCGGAAGAGCAGAGGCTTCGCAGAATACCTGGAGATCGATCAAGGAACAATAGGCATAATCCGCTATCGCAGATGGAGTTGAAGACAAAATCACGAACTTCTTCTCTAAGTTCGCAATCACGAACTCCTTCTCAGACTTCATCAATGGCCATCAGTTCGCGCCCAAGACAGACACGATTGAGTGGAGAATCCTCCTCACCAAAGGATTTTCACTGTTTGTTTTCTTCGTCTAAAATAGCTTCTCGGAATTCAGCTAGTTCTAAGACGGAGGAATTACCGCTATTCAAAGGGGATGAAGTATACGATTGGATAGATAGGATGGAAAGATACTTCCGAGTCAAAGCTATTGCAGAAAAATTTAAGGTTGACGTCGCAGCTGAGGCTATGGAGGAAAGGGCGTTTGGATGGTTTCAATGGTGGGAATCTCAAACGAGAGAAGATAGTTGGAAGGCTCTAAAGGAAGCGCCGATTAGGCGTTTTCCACCTAAACGCCGGCAGAAGACAGGGAAGACAGAAAGCCAAGAATCATCGAGGTCGCGAAGAACTTCTTCCAATTTGCAATCCTCTACGCGAACTACTGTTACTCCATGTTCAAAATCAAGTACCGCATTGCCCAGCTCGCTAATTGCTCATCATCCTCGATCGTCATCAGGAGGAATGTCTACTGGTTCGCAGAATTCAGTCCAAGCAGTGACTCCCAATGCGCTACTTTCAGCATACATAAAGCAATCATCCAATTCAGAAGCTATAAATGTAGGCACAACATTGAATTGAAGTCGTCTGCACTTTCAGTTCAACAATTGGGAACGAATGATGATATTCTGGAAAGGGCAGAAAGCGTTGAGTCATCTAATAAGCTGAAAGATTCCGAAGAGCACAAATCAAATAACCTTACCTATGAAATTCGAAGGTATGTTAGTGGTCTTGACCCATACCCAAAATATCTTAAATATGTGATGGGTAGCGCTCATGAACTGGAGTTGGGTGTCCCAATAGATGGTGTGCACCATTCTTCTTCAAAGGGGATGTTGGAAGGGATGAAGCAGATTGAGGGTTTCAAAAGTGATAATGAAAATTCTAGGAACTATGTTCGAAAGGAGTTGGGAGTGGGATTGACTGAGAATGAAACGGGAAATGCAAGGGGAATACCAGTGGAAAGCTTTATTGTTTCCGATAAGGGTGTAGTTTGTGACTATCGGTTTCAGATGGCTATTGCAGGTAAAGAGGTCAGGGCCACAGATGACAAGAATATGATACGTTGGGTGTAGTTTACATTGCACTTCTTGTTATTGATCCTAGGTGGGGGAGTGATAATGGAAATCCAGTTTTTGTGAGTACCCAACTAAGAGGCTCTTCCAACTGTTTGACTAAAGACGAGAATGATTGTAAGTCATGCGGCCCAAAAGGCAAAGAATATATTGCAGAGTCTTCTTATACCAGTTGTTTATTCATAGTGGAAACTGCAGCAGGTTCTGCACCTTTCATGTTATAGACAAAAGAGTCTAGACAGCTCTAGAGATCAGTTACATGAGTTACAAAATAAATTAGAATATTTGTATTTAATATTTCAGTTACAAATCTTTGTATTTAATATTATAATTAGTAGCCTAGCTCTAAAATGTTGTATAAATAGGATATCATTTCATGGAATGAATCAAGCTTTTCAGTCTCAATTCCTCCTTATTCTAAACTTTGTTATGGTACCAGTGCTTATGCCATTTTTCTCGGAGAATCGCTTATTTCATGGAAGTCCTCCAAGCAACGCACA